TTTTTTTCCAATAAATCCAGGGTTTGGATTCTTGTTATTTTTAAAAATTATTCTTATTATTTTCCTGCCTATTAAAAGAAATTAAATTAAGCAAAAGCTACACTCATGGTCTTTAACTCGATTTGTTATTGCCAGAAGGGGCGGGGATGCAATTGATTTTATATATATACCTCTATCATATCCCCCCTTAGTCTCCTCTTTTATTTATTTATTTATATTTGCTGTTGTCTCTTGAGCAATTATCAATTTGTTAATTTACTGGCTTCCTACTGCTGCCTCTGACAGCCCCCCTGCTCGTTAGAAAAATCTCGTTTTCTCCCTGCCGTTCCTGGTACTTACGTTAAACTAGAACCCTCCACAAAGGTCCAAGATGGTCAAATTAAAAAAAATATATATATATAAAATCAATTGCATCCCCGCCCCTTCTGGCAATAACAGATCGAGTTAAAGACCATGAGTGCAGCTTTTGCTTAATTTAATTTCTTTTAACAGGCAGGAAAAAAATAAGAATCCCAAACCCTGGATTTATCGGAAGAAAAGAAATAAAGCAACGAAAAAAGAATAAAAATAAATAACATAAAATTCCATATTAAAGTGGTTAGTAAAAACAAACAAAAACCAAACAAACGTACCCAACAGATTACTATTGCTAGTGTTAAAAAGCTAGTCTATATATATATATATATATATATGTGTGTGTAGACATAAATATATATATAAACAAATCGGGGCTGGTTTTTTTAGTTGTGCGTCGTCTCGTTAGCAGAGCGTTCCAGGGGTTAACAGAGAGGACAAGCCGGGAGGAATGAGACAAAGTCAAAGAAAATGAAAGTGGGCACTTTAAACCGGGCTTTTACTAAAAGAACCCGAGAGGTTTAGGAGCTCCTGCTTGGGGTGTGGGAAAGAATTCTGAATCGGCACCATGGTAAAGCAGGTGCTTCACTTTAAGCATGTGCTTCTGTTCTAATGTCTGAAGTCTCCTTGTGTACTAATGATCAGTAATAATAAATAATACTACTATTAATGAAATAAATTTCAGTGGGAGTGAAAGTCCTATTGACTTCATGGGGATTCACGCACAGGGTCACGCGCTGTCCCAAACAGGGATAGCTGCACGCCCATGTTGAACCAATGTAAGCACCCAAATCCATGGATATCCACCCCTCCCTTGGCCAAACGCCTGGCCACGAAGGAGAGGGAGTCAAAAAGCGAATTTGCCAATTGAAATCAAATTGACGGAATATTTTTTTTAAATCAATCAATAAGCCCATCTGACCTGTCAGCTCCCTCCCCGCTCATATGAACCACGTTTTTTAAAATTCCGTGTTAAGGGAGGGGGGAAAGAAGGAATTAGGAAATAATAATCATAAAAAAGAGACAGAACCGAAATCAAGAGGAGAAAGAGAAAGCCGGTGACTGAGGTAGATACCCGACTGGTTGCCATGGAAACATGAATAGAGGAGCAGAGAAACTCAGTTGAATGATTAAAAAAAGACGGAGAGGAAGCCCCCATGACTAGTTCCCCTGAAGGAGGTAAAAAGTCGAGCAGACATTAATGGTTGCCCCCCCAGCCCCCCACCAGCAGACGAGCCAAGGAATCATGGATCAGACTTTGGATTCCAGTTTGGTTACAAAAATCCTTTCCAGATTGGAGCTGGTGGCTTGTATTTTGCATCGGGCAGGTGGCGAAAGGGGCCTGTATTTTAGCTAGGGAGGCCAATTGGAATTAACAAGACCAGAGAGAGAAAATTGGGGGGGGGAATGGGGAGAGGGAAGGTTCTGGGAGGAAAAAGGTAAGTTAGGAAAAGAGGGATCGGGGTAGGATCAGAGGAGACGGAATTCACATTTAATATGGCCACAGAGAATATAACAAGGTGTTAGGTTTAGGGGGTCAGTGGTAATGTTCTGTTTACCTTTTTGTTCCACTTCTACTTTAAGCATCGGAAGAAAGAAGAAAAAAAATAGATTGAAAAAAAAAAGTGCAAGGAAAGAAGAAAAAAAAAGAGAGAAGAGATTAAATTGCTTTTCCCCCCCGCCCCAAAGAAACCTTTTCTTTATCGCAACTTTTTCCGCCCCACCCTTCCGACCCCCATTTTTTCAGAGCCCACCCCCCGCCCGTTTTAATTGTTAAAATTGTTGCTTGTTTTAGGCAAAGAGAGAGAGAAAAACGTGTGTTGGATTTTTGTTGGAGGATTTTATAAATCAGGTTTGATTTGTTTTTAGGATTCAATGGTTTTTTTTTGCTCCAGCAGCGACGCCCTTGGAAAGAGAAACATCAAGACCCCCCCCCCCCGCCCGCCCAATGCAAATAATAAAATAATAAGAAATGTTGCAACAACCCAAAATTATAAGAATTAAAAAAAAAACAAATGCAAAACTCTGAGCACCCCAGGAACAGAAAGGACAGTAGGAAATAGATAGGGATGGACAGATGGATGGTTGTGTATGGGGATAGATAGATAGATAGATAGATAGATAGATAGATAGATAGATAGATAGATAGATGTGTATGGGAATAGGCAGTTAGATAGAGAGGGTATATGGGGATAGACAGGTAAATAGATAGAGTGGGTGTATGGGAATAGACAGATTGATTGATCAGTCAAAGGAACCAGGATTCTGGGATCTCAGCTGAACTAAGAGGCCCAGGTGGCCCGTAGACATCCGCCCCCACCCTCAACTGCTGATCTTCTGTTGCGTAGCTTCAAGCTGACACCAATCCTCTCTTGTCAATATCAGCCCACTCATCACCCTAGATCTAAATGGGTGTATTCCCTGGTCTGGGTCATGCAGGAGGTCTGAGTAGATGATCAGATCTAATCTATCTATCTATCCCCATCCACCCACCATCTATCTAATCTATCTATCTATCTATCTATCTATCTATCTATCTATCTATCTATCTATCTATCTATCTATCTATCCCATAAGAACAGCCATGCTGGGTCAGCCCAATGGTCCAGCTAGCCCAGTGTCCTGTCTTCTGAGAGAGGCTGGTTCCAGATGCTTCAAAGGGAACTAACAGAACAGGGCAATTATCAAGTGACTCATCCCTGTCATCCAGTCCCAACTTCTGGCCATCAGAAGCTTACTTTAGAGACACCCAGAGCATGGGGCTGCGTCCCTGACTAGCTTGGCTAATAGCCATTGATGGACCTATCCTCCGGGGACACCTCCAACCGATTTGGCCTTCCCAACAGGCGCAGCAGCACGTTCCACAGACTGACTGTGCGGTGCTTGCCGAAGTACTTAAGGTTGTTTTAAACCTGCTGCCTGTTCCTTTCATCGGGTGAGCCCTGGTTTTTGTGCTAGGTGAAGGGTCAGTAACACTTCCCGAGTCACTGTCTCCACACCAGCCATGATTTTACAGCCCTCTATCACGTGCCCCCGTAGTCGTCTCTTTTGTAAGCTGAACGCTCCCAGTGCTTTTACTTTCTTCTCGTACAGAAGCTGTTCCATCCCCCTGATCAATTTTGTTGCCTTTCTCTGTACTTTTTCCAGTCCTAATATATCTTTTTTTGCGATGGGGTGACCGGAACTGCAGGGAATATTCAAGATGTGGGGGCACCGTGGATTATACACCTCTCTCTCTCTCTGTACATCCCCACTGCCTAGCTATCTATCCACCCACCCCGCCCCCATTCAGCTGTCTATAAAGGTGTATTTCTAACATGGTACGCAGCACAGTTCCTAGGCATAGACCCATCACACCCCTAAGTCCCTGTCCTAAAGCCCCCCCCCACACCGCCCGTCTCTCACTCCCAGACGCGCTGGGGATCCAGGCTCCCTTTCTCATTGCCTTTGAAAGCTCCTACCCCACCGAGGCAAACCCTCTGTGCTCTGTAAACCGGGATTGTTTCTGTCATGATTGATGGGCCTGCCCCCCATCCCCTGCACCCTCCCAGGCCCCACTGCCCTCGACCACACTCCATCTGCTCCTTGCTCTCTGATGCCTCCACCCTGTGACGATAACTCCTGGTCAGCGTCCTAAACCCCCTCTCCCCCCCGCCCGTATACCAGTGGGGAAACTGAGGCACAGAGCAGGGAAGCAACTCCTCCCAGCTCACCCAGAAGAGCCAGAAATAGAGGCCAGCTCTTCTGCGCCTCAGTGCAGTGCTCTCGCCACTAGACCACGCTGCCCTCTTGATCCTGTTAGCAGTGGACTGGTGCCCTCCTAGCTCAGAGCCCACAGAGCCCTCCAATGTCTGCTTGGTCCACTGAAGAGCTTGGGGAAGCAGCACACAGCTCCACCGAGATCCAGGGGGCAGTGTGAGCTGCACCGGTCGTGGTGCTCTGCCGAGAGCTCTGGCTCCGACTAAATACAAATGACCTTGTTTTTTAAAACAACAAGGAGTCCGGTGGCACCTTAAAGCCTAACAGATTTATTTGGGCATAAGCTTTCGTGGGTAAAAACCTCACTTCTTCGGATGCATCTGAGGTTTTTACCCACGAAAGCTTATGCCCAAATAAATCTGTTAGTCTTTAAGGTGCCACCAGATTCCTTGTTGTTTTTGTAGCTACAGACTAACACGGCTACCCCCTGATACTTGTTTTTTAACTACACTTTGAATGGAAACTTCCTCCTCTGTGGCGGGGAGGGGGGAAAGGAGCTGGCTCCAATCTGACCCCAGGGTGGCTCTGGGGGGCAGGGAACGGGACAGGGGGTCTTTCCCCTCTAGGGGGCGCCAGATCCAATCTGACCCCAGTGCAGGGGACTGGCTGGCTCAAGGGGGCAGGGAATGGGACATGGGGCCTTTCCCCTCTAGGGGGCGCCAGCTCTGATCCGATCCCAGGGCAGGGGACTGGCTGGCTCAAGGGGGCAGGGAATGGGACAGGGGGCCTTTCCCCTCTAGGGGGCGCCAGCTCTGATCCGATCCCAGGGCAGGGGACTGGCTGGCTCAGGGGGGCAGGGAATGGGACAGGGGGCCTTTCCCCTCTAGAGGGCGCCAGCTCTGATCCGATCCCAGGGCAGGGGACTGGCTGGCTCAAGGGGGCAGGGAATGGGACAGGCCAGGGGGCCTTTCCCCTCTAGGGGGCACCACTTTTGGTCCTTCTTTGTCTGATGACAGCTTTCAGCGCAGTCCAGGCAGAGAGGAGGGAATTCTCCAGGTTGGCGTTTGGCCAGGATGGACACCGGGGTTCACACCCCAACCTGCCGGGGCTCCTTAGCTACACGTGTATTCAGGCCTGGGTGTGAGATGTGACCCGAAGGACCGGGGCGGGCGGGGTCTTATGGTCCTGTCTCCTTGGGAACTGTATCCCAACAGAGGTTACTGATGCCTGACAGACGGACAGAGGGCTGTATGGGCTGGGTAGACAGAGGGGGTGAAATGGGATAGACAGATGGATACAGCTGTGTGTGAGGATAGACAGAGCGCTGTGTATGGGGCTGAGTAGATACAGAGAAGGAGTGTTTGAGGGTAGATACGGAGTTTATGAGGCTGGCTGGATAGAGGGGTGAGTATGGGATGGTGTGTATGGGGCTGGATGGATAGACAGAGGGGTGTGTATGGGGCTGGCTGGCTGGATAGAGTGGTGCGCATGGGGCTGGATGGACAGACAGAGGGGTGTGTATGGGGCTGGATGGATGGATCGAGGGGCTGGATGGATAGACAGAGGGGTGTGCATGTGGATGGATGGATGGGTGGATGGACAGAGCAGTGTGCATGAGGTTGGATGGACAGACAGAGGGGTGTGCATGGGGCTGGCTGGATCGAGGGCCTGGATGGACAGACAGAGGGGTGTGTATGGGGCTGGCTGGATCGAGGGGCTGGATGGACAGACAGAGGGGTGTGTATGGGGATGGCTGGATCGAGGGCCTGGATGGACAGACAGAGGGGTGTACATGGGGCTGGATGGACAGACAGAGGGGTGTGCATGGGGCTGGATGGACAGACAGAGGGGTGTGTATGGGGCTGGCTGGATCGAGGGGCTGGATGGACAGACAGAGGGGTATGTATGGGGCTGGATGAACAGACAGAAGGGTTTGCATGGGGCTGGATGGACAGACAGAGGGGTAAATCTATGGGGATGGACAGACCGACAACCTAGCAGTGCTAAAGTCTGACTCTCACCCCCTCATTGCCCCTCACCGGTTGGCTCTGGGGTCAGCCGTTCTCCCCAGTGCAGAGGACTGCGGCCATTGGCGGCGAGGTCTGTGGGGCGGCGCTGACAGCCGGCCAGGGCACGGGGCTAAGGCGGTGCAGAGCGGAGCGAGGTGGCCCCCTGCCTTGCTCCATGGGAGCCCCGAGGGCTGGCCTGGCCTGGTGCAGAACTAATGCCAAGCTGGTGAACTTGTGGAAAGGGGACTGGTGGGGGGGGGGGATATTAAACTCAGGGGGAAGCGAGTTAAAAATAGCACTTGGGAAGGGGAAAAACCAGCTCCAGCCGGAAATTAACATCCGCCGAGCCGCCCAGCAGGGGCTTTAGCGAGACAGGCCGTAGCGGCAAAGAGCAAACCAGCCGGGTAGAAATCTCCAGCCACACACGTTTGTGCCAGGGCGGGAGGCAAATCGGTGCCCCACCCTGGGGATGCTGTGGGGTCGGGGCGGGGGGGAACTGCCTTGCTGCCAATGGAGCTGCACAAGACCTGGGACTTAACCCTAAGCCGGCTCCCGTGATGACGGGTGGATACAAAATATGAAAAACTTGGGGTGAGACTGTCGGCTGGTCCACACAGGTGCTGGCTGAGGGCGACAGGTTTCCCGGTGCCGCTCTGCTAATGGCCGAGTCTGTTACAGCCAGGCCAGAGAGCTCATTAGCTCAAGGGGTGTAGCTCTGAAGAGCCCCAGGGCAGCCCCTGTCATGTGGGGGAGGGATAGCTCAGTGGTTTGCGCATTTGCCCCCCCCTCCCCCCAAACCCAGGGTTGTGAGTTCAATCCCTGACGGGGCCATTTGGGGATTGGTCCTGCTTTGAAGTCCCTTCCAA